GATAGGGTAGAGTAAACTATAAGAAGAAACAGTTCTGCACATGCAAAACTCAGGAAATTACTATCACTTCCTCTCTAAAAAATGGATGACAATCACAAAAATCACGAAAGTGTTAAAACTCCTCTATCACCTTATATGAATCCGCGTCATCAATATGACTTCCAAAAGTCCCGTAACATTCTATATATAAATTACAGTATGATTTAGTAGCAGCATGCTTCAAATGCCCATCAAAAGCTGCATAAGCAATGTGTACTGATTCCTTATGTGAAATGTTACTGACAATGAGAAACCCTCACCAAGTCATGTGAGCCTGAGCTCAAGTAATTTATGAGTGACCCAATTCACCTTTAAAATCATCCCGAATCGTACGTTCTGTATTTGTGGCCACCTGATTTGTTTCGAAAACGCCCCACGGCGATGGAAAAAGCAAATGCTTTATCTGCACCGCGGTCCAGCTGAAGGAAACGCTTTACAAGTTTTTCAGAAGAAAATGACGTAAAAAAGCTACAACAAGAAATTCCTGCTCATCTACTATGCAAGGCTGACATGTTGTTTTGAAGTAAAATTTTATGTAAAAATGCAAAACATCGCCATTGAATGATATTGCGAATGCGGAGAATTTCCGCTAAAACATATACTGTATTGCGAAAACAAATAGGAACAAAGATCACAGATCATCAGCTCGGGTGAGCCAGGGAGAAATAGATGAATAGCAATAACTCTCAAACGAACTATCTCAAGCCACTTACTAATAAAAGAGTGCAAATAATAATTTTTTCCGTGAATCTGTCAAAAACTCAAAAGCACACTAGCGTTTTTTGTATCACCAGGGCTAACCGGATTTCATCATGTTAGGATATGAAGGCTATAGCACCCTTAAATCACCACGTATCACAAAACTAATCGGCTACTTGTCAAATTAAGCCATCGCCAACCACAGTTCGTCTTCTCGTGACTTCCTCTCCAGCAATTTCAGCCTCATCTTCTGAGCCCGAGTCAGAAGTGAGACTGACGTATGAGCCTCTTCTTCGCCATTTCAACTCACGATAGAGTAGAGGAGTTAAGCAAGCTGAAGTGCATAAGACCTGAACAACAAAAACATTTTTTATCCAAAGAGAATTTTTTGAGTGTGACTTTTACCATGACTATGAAGCCGTAAAACACAAACTCCCATCCAAATACGGCTTGGATGGAAGGTATCATCACCTGCCCAATCGCTGCTCCAAAGCTTCCAGTACCTAAATGAACTTTGATATCAATAACGTACTCAGAAGCAATAGCTACTACCAAGATAATTCCTCAACAACGCGAAAAGAAATAAAA